TCCTGGGGGTTCCACCCCCCAGAGCCAATTGAGGGGTGCACAGGGCATGCAGGAAGAGGAGAAAGGGGGAAAGGCCCATTGCCCTAGAAGGCTAGCACAACTATTTAGCTGAGTCTGGCCCAAGAGGATGATGATGATTTCCCAGTCACTTGCCGTCTATGTGAGATGCTGTTATCTCCAATTTAGCTTGACAAAACAGAACCCACAAACTTTTATATTCCGACTTCCACGTTGGTCTAGGCTTCATTTACTTTGTGTTACTGTAATGGCTGATGAAGGATCAGGTCCTAGCTTTTGAGTCCAATTTAATTATGCTGAGATTACACCCATTGAAATCAATTTAAATTAGTGATCATTAGCTTATTTTGCCTTGACTTAAATGGGTTTACTCTACAAATGAGTAGCGTTGCAATGTTAACCCCACTTACCGTACATAAAACTAAGCTCCATGAAAACCAGTAGGATGTATTTCTAACTTGATGTGGTTAGGATTGAGCTGTGAGTCTGGATCCAACCTATCCAGTATCTCTGAAATAGAGGTTGCCAACACAGTGCCTTCCAGATAATTTGGACTACAACTCCCACTACCCCCAGCCAGCATGGCCACTGGTCAAGGATGATGGGAGTTGTAATGCAAAAACATCCAGTGGATTGACTATCCCTGCTCCAAAGTGTTACTTAAATCCTCAATAATAGCCATGGATTATTAAGAGGGATTTGTGAAGGGATGTGAGGATATGCTGATGAAGATATATGGAGATTTTTTATAGCACAGAAGATTTAGAAGATTAAGGCTGGATTCATCCTAAATTCCTTATTGGTTCAGATCTTATGTGTTGACCATTGTTCTGAGATGGTTTAAACTATGGGAGATTCTAACTAAGTCTTAGTAAGACCTTTCTGATGGTAAGAGCTGTTTGACCGTGGAACAGACTCCCTCAGAAGGTAGTAGACTCTCTTTCATTGGATGTTTTTAAGCAGAGGTTGTGAAGCCAACTGTCAAGGATTCTCTAGCTGTGATTCCTGCATTGAAAGGGGTTGGACTTATGACTCTTGGGGTCCCTTCAAACTCTATGATTCTTTGATGGTGTATGGACACAGACATGAGCAGCACTGACTCCATAATAAATTGCCATTTGACAATGGTTAAGAGAGGGTAACAAACCTGTCCCAATATAATTCTTCAAAGACTAACCCATGTCTACTATAGCACCTCAATTTCTCTGCCTAATAGTTTTAACAGACCAGAGAATTGGAAGGAAATTCCATGCAGCATCTGTTTTGTGTGAGGCTTTTAATAGTCATTTGTAGGAAATGGCATTCAATGCCTTGTGGGTGTGTTTACCCCTTCCCTTCCCTATATAAACAAAGTTGGGGAATGAATATTCAAAAACATATCCCACCAAGGAAGGCCACCTCTGCCACAGAATTTCCAACAATTCTGCTATAAATCGGGTCCAAAGTATGAGGAAGTTGGGGCTGAATTCTTGCTGGGCCTTTAGTGCCTGGAGCCTTTGCATATAACTCCATGGCTCAGCTCTGGAATGTGTGTGAAGCAAGGGCCAATGAGGGGATTCTGCAGGAAGTAGAGAGAGAATTCTCCACTTCCCCCACCAAATGCACTGAGTCATCATAAGCACCGAAAGTTGTCTGATCTCAGGGATTATGATGAATGAAGGTGGGGAGGAGGTGGAACAGGAAATGGGTGCAGCTTGGAGTGCTACCAACTTGGAGAAGGAGGATGAGGCAACCACCGTTGGAGGCAGCAATGCTTCTGAATAACAGTTGCTGGGAATCTCTTGTGCTTGAGTCCTGCTTATAGGCTTCTCTTTAGAGCATCTGTTTGGCCATTGCTCAGTTGGTTAGATAACACCAAGGTTGCAGGTCCGATCCCCATATGGGGCAGCTGCATATTCCTGTATTGCAGGGGGTTGGACTAGATTATCCAAGGGGTCTCTTCCAACTATGATTCTAAGATGCTGGACTAGATGGGACATTGGCCTGATCCAACAGGCTCTTCTTATGATCTTCTTTCTTCTGAGGCAGACAGTTAGGATAAGAAGGTCTACTGGGAGCGAGTTCCACAGGACATGGCCTTGCTACGTGAAAGGCTTGGCCAGCAAACCTCAGGGGCATGTGATTCTTGCGAAGATTTTAAAAAGCCGGGGGAGACCTTTCTATGCATGCCACCCTGAGCAGCTTGGAGGAAAATGTGGACCAGAAATGTATTAAATAAATAAATCTCTAAAGGGGGAGGAGCTCAAAACAGCACATTGAGGACTGAGCATGCTTGGTGAGTACAGAATGCTGACATGTGGGAGGAAAACACAGAGGCTGTGTACACACTGTGCCCAAAGAATTCTGGGTATTGTAATTTGTGAACTCTAACTCTGGGTACTACAGTACCCAGAATTCTTTGAGGGAAATAATGTGCTTCAAATGTGCTTTAATGGTATAGTGTGGGGGCAGACTTTGGTCTTTCAAATTTCAGCAAGAATAGAAGAACAATTGAGGACAAAACGAAAATTCAAGTGTTCACTTCAGAAATATCAGTATACCTCCAAAAATCAAACCAAAAGAAAACAAGGATGTATTACAAAGACAACAGGTTCCGTCACACAGCATAACACTTCAGTATTTCTATTTTCATGTTGAATTAATTTCTTTTAGTATTCCAAGCTTTGAGAGATGCTGCCAGCAGCTGCTGTTGCAAATCAGTACATAATAACATGCCCCCAAAGTGCATGGAAGGCATTTGGTGTCTCTATACCTTGTAAGGTTCTCAAGGGAGGCTGGCAATATTTCAAAAGTTTTTGTACCAAAGAGAAAGTTTCAGGTCCTGTAGAGCTTTCTGTTTCTGTACAATTGACAGTCTCACAGCAGTTCATAAAAATGTTGGAAGGTCCTAGGGCTTAAGATTCACGTTTGTATCCACATCAGAAATATGCAAAGGAGAAAGCGTCTCAAAGCGCTAAAATTCTGAAAAGCTTTTTCCATACAAAAAGTTGCAATCACATACTGTCAGCCCTTGAAGTGTTTAAAGCTAAACCCCAGCACAGTTATTATATGGGGCTCAGATTTGGACGGGCCCTCACCTTAGATCTACAGAAGCTGTTCAATCTAAGTTCCTAAGGCAATTTTTTTTCTGTTCCATCCTGTGTTCCAAATGCTTCATTGCACTTGGAAGCTAATATCCCCTCTGTTGAATGACAGATTTGGTGTAGGACATTTTATTATTGGCTTTGGCTAAATTTAAACCCCCTCAGTCTACTACTCTTAGTATCACAAGATTGTCATGAGAGCGCTTGGACTAAAATTGTCATCCAAAAGCTTTACTTTCTTGGTTTATCACCACAACAGTTATTAACACTGGGCTTCAGTAAAGCAAATAATTTAATTAGACAGCACCTATATGATATCAAGCGACAGAATAATCTGGCCACAATAAAGAAATCTTGTCCACGGTAGTATTATTTTCCACCTCATCATTTTGATACGTTGGCACCCTATTTGCAAAATTTAACAATTCCTAAATACAGATGTGCTTTCACATACGCAAGATTAAATATACTGCCTTCAGCTGTACTTGAGGGTCGATTTCAAAAAATTCTGCTGGGAAAATGGTTATGTCCATGTGGAGATGGCAGTATTGAGTCAGTGGCTCATGTGCTTCTAGCTTGCACTCTTTATAAAGGTATGAGGTTATTTCCCCTCTACTAATGTCCATATCGGGTTGCTCAACCATTGCTACTGTGTCCTTTCTTTTACAAGATCAAGATGACCAGGTGACAGCAAAAACTGCAATTTTTTTAGCAGGGACCAGTAGAATAAGATATATTATTTGATTATGGATGTAAACCTCCAGAATGTATTTTGTATAGTTAAGTTTTTACCTCTACCTTCCATACTCTGTATTTTATTTTATTGCTATGGCTAGTGGCTGATGCAAATAAAGATTTTTTTCTGATTCTGATTCATGTTCACATCTTCAGACACTTCACTTCAAACACCCAACACTTCAAACACACATGTTGGGAATTTCTTGAAACACAGTAGGCCAAAACTCCTTTCAGGTGGAGATCCCCACCCTGGGTGCTGGTATGTAAAAGGTAAAAGGCAAAGGACCTATGAAGGGTTATGTCCGGTCAAAGGTGACTATGGGGTTGCAGCACTCATCTCGCTTTCAGGCCAAGGGAGCCGGCGTTTGTCCACAGACAACTTTCCAGGTCATGTGGCCAAGCATGCCTAAACTGCTTCTGGCGCAACGGAACACCATGACGGAAACCAGAGCGCACGGAAATGCTGTTTGCCTTCCCACCGCAGCCGTACCTATTTATCTACTTGCACTGGCGTGCTTTCAAACTGCTAGGTTGGCAGGAGCTGGGACAGAGCAAAGGGAGCTCACTCTGTCGTGGGGATTTGAACCACCAACCTTTTGATGACAAGCAGAAGAGGCTCAGTGGTTTAGACCACAGCGCCACGACTTGAGGCCATGCATGGTAATTGAATCCAGGTCTGTGCCACCTGTGGTAGATTTTATATAAATGGAAATTGACTCTGTTGGTTTACTGCAATGGAGCCCCAGGCCACGAGAGAGGGCATGATTGGCTGAAACACTAAACAGGAGCACTTAACAAAACAACATCATATTAGGGGACGGGTCCCGTTTGTCTCAAAGCATTGCTGTTTCTGGATCCTTATGAACACACGTACCTACATTTAGATTTTGATGGATCTATCTGGTTCTATTCCAAACCCTTTCTAGCTAGCAAGGTTTCTGTCGCGCGCCCCCCTAACGTGGACACGTCTTTGCAAAAAGTACCGGGGCAAACCCCGAAGAGGTGGCGAGGGGCCAAGCAGGGAGCGTGACTGCCGTTGCTGCCGCCAACCCAATCAACCATCCCCGAGAGAATCGCCTGGATTTTCCCAGAGGTCTGACTTGGGCTGCCAAGGGAGGCGTGCCGCCCTCGGGAAGGGAGGGGAGGGGGAGGGAAAGGAGGAAGAAGGCGCGGAATCAGGGAATGGCGCTGCTGCTGGTGGTTCTGCGAGGTGCCCATCGGGCTTAGGAGCGCCCGCCTCAGCCGCCGGGGCAGGAGCATGCGGGACCCTCTGCTGGTGGCGCTGGGCTGGGTGGTGGCGGCAGCGGCCATCACCTCGACGTGGCACGTCCAGGCGGCAGGTGAGACCCCAAAGGGGAGAGAGCGAGAGAAACAGAGTCCCCAGCAACCTGGGCAGGGCGTCCCATGGAACACATGGGGGTTTCCTCTCGAGGAAGTGGGCAAGAGGGTAGCTTTTTCACTGCTCACACGGGATCCGTTTTATCTGTTGGTTATTCAGTTCATGAAATGTGGTATTCCGCTTGATCGTAAGGAAAAGCCTCCAGCGGTTTACCAAAACACGTTTTAGATCGGCTGCTTTTAATCGATTGGCTGGTTGTTTGGTGCTGAGCTTACTTTTCTTCTTATTCAATGGACCCGTTGCTTTGTTTTGTAAAATAAAACTGTAAAAGCCGCCCTAATAGTTGGGTAGAACAGGGCATTGATTGGAGAGGGGCATTTGGTGATTTGCTCTTTTACCTGGCTTTGAGTGACTGCGCACTCTGTTGCTTGTGTGGGTGTCTTATGTATTAATCTTCTGTCCAGCACATTGAGGGGCCAAAAAGTGATATACAAATGAACCGTTGTTGTTATGCCCCCAAAGTGATATCTATTTTATTGCATAAAATTAATACGCTGCTTGATTGTAAAGGAAACAAAGAAAGCTCAAAATAGTTTTCAAAAAAAGATAGAATAATTAAATTATCAATAAGAAAAATTAACAACAGTGATTTAAGACTTTTGAAAAGTCAATATAACAGTAGACTAAAGACAGATTAAAACTCGCAGAAACTCAACTTTCTAAACATCTGGGTAGGCTCATCTAAAGTCGAATGTTTTTAGAATGTTTTCAGAACAAGAATGATATAAGAATACATGACAACAATGAATAATAATAATAATAATAATAATAATAATAATATAACAGTCATGAGGGGCTCCAGCCTGTGTTGAGAACCACTGGCAGCTCTTGCCAACCTGCTGCCTTCCCGGTGTTTGGGAGCTGCTGATGGGAGTTGTAGGGCAACATGGGGAAGGGTCACTACCACCCAACCCAGCCCCCAGCATTGCTCCTCTCTCTTTAACAGTGGTCCACTGATGAAACTTTCACACCACCTCTTCTTATTTCCTATCAGGAAAATCACCACCTGCTGAATTTCTGTTGAATTTGCTTTTTAAGGCACAGGAGCAATGGCAATTAAAAAGGTGGCAATCCTGAGTTACCTTTAAGGTGCTTGGGACCATGGTAACTGAACCACCAGCAGATCAATTTATTAATTTTTAGAAAAGGCCATACGCTTGTGAGTCACCCCACTGCTTTTGTACTTGCCAGCCATCTAGGCGAAGGGTGCCTGAGTGTGTTTTGTTTCTGTTTCCCTTTTTCTAACTGCGTAGGCAACATGGCACCTTTTCTCTCTTGTATTTCCAAACGGGCCAGGGGGAAAGCAGATGCAGTGGGCTCAGCTATGTTCACCCCACTCCATTCAAGCGCAAGGGTTTGAGTCTTTTTAGTGCACAGAAAAGGCAAGCAATTGGCAACGTGATAGAAGTTTATAACATGGCACTTTGAAGGTGCACAGAGAAAAGTCGTCCCCCCTCTCGTAACGCTCAAATTGGTGGATGTACAATGAAGCTGAATGTTGGGAGATTCAGGATAAACAAAAGAAATTCCTTCTTCAACCAGAGCATATTGAAGCTATGGAGACAATGATGGCTCCCAACTTGGATGGCTTTAAAAGAGGATTGGACAAATTCATGGCGGGCAAGGCTATTAATGGCTACTAAGTATGATGGCTAAGCTCTGCCCCCACAGCCAGAGGCCTCATGCATCTGGGAATCTCAGGTGGGCAGAGTGCTGTTGCGCTTATGTCCAGTTTGCAGACTTCCAACAAGGATCTGACTGGTCACTGTGCGGAGAGATGGGTCATTGGCCTGATCCAGCAGGCCTGTCTTATGCTCTTATGTTCTTATGTCAAGGTGATGGGTGGGATGCTGGATTTTGTAAATTAATAAAGCGGGGGGGGGGGGGGGGAGACATTGTTAGCTCACATTAAAAATAAGAAAAAAAATTAATCCCAATGATATCCAAATGAGACTAATGATTATAAAGATATATGCTCAGATGTAGAAGGGGCAATTCGATCTCCAAACCGTTGAGTAATGGATGGTGGGTGTTTTTCCTTTCAGTCTCTTTGGGACTTGCCAGATCCCCTTTCGTTGTTCATCCATTAGCCCCCATCTCAGAGGGACATACCGTATTCTTTGCTCTATAAGACTCACTTTTTCCCTCCTAAAAAGTAAGGGGAAATGTGTGTGCATCTTATGGAGTGAATGCAGGCTGTGCAGCTATCCCAGAAGCCAGAACAGCAAGAGGGATTGCTGCTTTCACTGCGCAGCAATCCCTCTTGCTGTTCTGGCTTCTGAGATTCAGAATATAATTTTTCTTGTTTTCCTCCTCCAAAAACTAGGTGTGTCTTGTGGTCTGGTGTGTCTTATAGAGTGAAAAATACGGTAATTTAAAAGTGCGTGAACGTCTGCAAACACCAAGCATTTTGATTTTAGCATAGGAAGAGGTGCTTGGGTGAGGGGTGCTGAACTCTCTCTCACACCTTTGCACCCTTTGTTCCATCGCCTCAGGTGCTTTTCTCACAGCCACCTCTGATTCTGGAAATGGCTGGACTGAGGAGAAGTACCTGAGCTGATGTAGCAAGAGAAGTCCTGGTGGGGGAAGGGGAGAGGGCTCAGCTTCCCTTACCCTGTAATGTAGGAGTAAGAGCAGCTTTTGCCAGCCTGTTGCCTTACAGGTGTTTTGTATTACACTTTCCAGGAGCTGCAGCCATGGTACTGTTAACTCCAGCATCTGAGAGCCCACTGACTGAGGCTGATGGGAATTGTAGTTAGGAATGGGAGAGGATTTTGGTTTGCTCCAGAACTGGAAGCAAACCTCTCTGGTCTTCATCCGATGGCTCACATTGGATCACATGTCTAGACTGGATTGCATGTATGTGAACTTCTCAGGTTGTGGTTATTTGTGCTAACATCCTGGTTTTAGTTTCATTTCTATACAAGGTGGTTCAGGAGCTTTCTAGCTCTTTTTGCCTTTCTGTTCAAAAATCATTTCTAGCTGCTTGAAAGATACCGTATCAGTATTGGAGTTTTAAAAAAGATGTTATTAAGGTGTTTTTATTGCTTTATTGTTTGTCACTCTGGGCTCCTTTGGGAGGAAGGGCAGTAAAGAAATTGAATAAATAAAAAACAAATTAAAATTAAGTGTGTGTATGTGAAAATTGCTTAAAATATCCACATGGTTATAAGATGGAACAGACTTGCTGGTCCACTTGTGTTCAAGGGACACAAACCAGATTAAGGCTGCATTCACAACATACATTTCAACTGCAATGATACCACTTTAACCAGTCATGGCTTCCGCCAAAAAAATTATGGGAGTTGTAGTTTGTTAAGGATGCTGAAAGTTTTTAGGAGACCACTATTCCCCTCACAGAGCTACCATTCCCAGAGTTTCCTGTGAAGAGGGACTGATTATTAAACCACTCTGATGAAATTATAACAGGGCAGATAATCTATCAGAGACCCTGATTCCCCGGACCATTTGGTAGGTTGGGTCCTTTTTGAAGTGGGGTTGGTCTAGAAGACCCTTGGGGTCCCTTCCAACTCTATGATTCTAAGTGTAGCCACATGGTGAGGCTTCCCCCTGAGGGCAGCTGTTCACATCTAGCACTCTTGAGACTTGATTCAATGGCTTTTAAGATGCCACCAGAACTCACCCACTGTGCTTTGTGGTAGGCTAGCCAAAACCACAGGATGAAGAATGTGCCTCCAGAATGTCACCATTCTGCACAACAAACCCACTTTCTTAAAATGAAATAAAAAGCCCCCCCCCCTGACTTTTAGTGCTTAGGAAAGTGACAGGAGAGTAACAGGGAACTGTACTGAAAAGTGTGGGGTGAACTAAAGATAAATGGGAAGACATGTCAGCACCACCACCCCACGCCAATTGGAATGAATGCTCATTGTCCTATAACTGCCCCATAATAATATTTGTTAACAAATGCTCAATACATAGTCTAGCCTCTGTGTAAGCTTTGTGCAAGCAGATCAGGATGCTGAATAGCAAAGAGTCCTCAGTGTGATTTAATTTAAAGTGTCTGCTATGCTACCATTTGTCTGCATGAACTGGGATGAAGGGCCTTCCACTTTCTAGTGCATATCTTAAAAGTATTTGTGTGCATGTTTGACCATATGTGTATTTGCAGAAACGTGGATTGTTCAGGGACATTGTGAATAGGGATTGGACCTCGGACTGGTTATTCAGCCTATTTGTTTGCTGCTGTGTGTGACTGTGTGAAGCAGACGCAAATGAGTGAAAGATGCTTTCATCAAAAACACTTGAGTTCGCCAGCAAACGACGCCAGCTGTCAGGTCTTGGTTACTCTGTGCATATTGAGCGAGGCATGTCTTGCCAAACAACAACAACAACACACACACACTTAGCAAAATTAAAAGTTTTGAAATATGGGTTTGGTCTCTGTTCCCCACCCTGCATCAAAATATAACTTATAGTACTGAGAAACAATTGGCAGCCTTTATCGATGAGTTCTTCCAGCCATCGCGGCCACTGCAGGATGCTACTTCTCACAGAGAACAGCAGGGATTTGTTTTGGGCTGGGGAGGATTAAGAACAGGCAATTAATCTGAACCAGCATTGCTCAACCATCCACATTCCTGCCTGTCATGCCTCATCTGGAGGAGTCCACAATCAGAGGCCAATGTGGAGCTCCCACTACTTAGTGAAGCCCAGGACCCAACAAGATCTGTGGACAAGGACAAGTTAGGACTCCGGGACAAGGGTGCTAGGTGGGCATCCCGTGGAGACCTCCCCTTTGACAACAACTAATGGGATTCGGCTGGGTGTGGTTCAAGCAAGCTCCAGCTGAAAAGCCCCAGCATCAGGTGGGAAGAGCTGCTTTTTGCCTTGTACCTGGCCCTCTACTTGCGTGGAATGAGACCTTGGACTGCCCCTTGATTTGCATCTTTCCTGAGCCCTTGCTTGAACCACTGTTTACTTGGGACTGGACCTCGGACTGGCCTTGGGTGTTGCTGGTGTCTGCATCCATGGCAGCTCTGTTTATATGGATGTTCCTCTGCAGCTCAGGACCCAGCTAGGGCAGGACACTCCCCTCCCTCTTTATTCAGCTGTAGCCAAGGGTCAGGCAAGGCAGAGAAAGGGGGTGTCCCTCTTACGCCCATTACAGTGAATCCAATTTCTCCTCTGTTGTTCTTTGGAATGCAGAGGCACCCCTTGAGGTTAGATCCCCAGGGATTTCAAATTCTGCAAGGCCTTGCTGTTGCAATTCAAGGAGGGGAGGTAAGCTGAGCCCTTTCCCCCCGCCCCCCTACTTTCCTCCTCACTTCCATCAGGCTCGCTGCTCAACTCCTGTTCTCCTCTTAACTGGCTAAAGATGCTGGCTGAGTTTATTTTAGGTGTGCTCAGGAAACCCAGCTGGCGCCTTTGTGGGGAAGGGACTTGTCCAGGGATAAACACATCTTTCCAGGGCCCAGATAAGATAATATTTGTCCCTGCTGGCACTTCAGCCAATTATGTTGGTTCTTTTTTTTACTTTGCTGCTTGTAAAACATGATAATTTTCTGGATAAAAATATAGTTTAAAAAACTCAACTTTTTTCAAATGTGTGTGTTGGGGGGAGGGTTTCCTAGGATATTGTTATTCAAACGGATTTTTTAATTTAAATACTTACAAAACACAATTTTCAAGTGTATCAAGGTGGCTTATGAAACATACAAAATGTAATAAAATTGCCTGTAAAACGTAATTTAAAACATCAATAGATGCCAGGGCTGTCAGACAGGCAGGACCACCCACAAAATGTCAAAATGAAGACTCCCTGTGTTCACTCAAGCCAGCTGCTTCTACCACCTATCAGCTTGCCATCTTCTCAGACCTGTCCTCGGTGTCCCACCACCAATGTCATTGGTCTAAGTCTTCTTCCTCCGTGTCATCCCTGGGGATTTTTGGGCTGGCGTCTCCCACTGCTCTTCATCAACCAGCCAGTCTCTGACAGTAGATTGGTTAGAAAGGGAAGCTCATATTGCAAAGGCTTGCCTAAAGAGTAGAAAAGAAGACCGAAAGAAGGCAGGGATTATTGCTGCCAAAGACAGTTCCACAGAGCAGAGCCTTCCACACTAAATACTCAGTCCCTTCTAATGGCCAACCAAACTTCAAGGCATGGAGATCCATCCAAAGTGCCCCATCAGATGATCTCAGTGATTGAGGGGACACACAAGGGAACAGACAGTTTTTCAGGTGTTTCAGGCCCAGGGCTTTGTGGATTAACACAAGAACCTTCGAACTGTTGCCTGCAGTCTTCTCCTGTGAGCAGCCTGGCCACTGTAGGAATCAAGTCTTGAGGCTGCCAGTGCATGGACCACTGTATGGTCAGGCTGTGTGGTCCAGGAATGGTTTCAGTTGGCATACCATGCATACCATCTAGAGCTGGTAAAAAAAAGCACTCTTGGGCATTTTTGGGGCATCCCTCTGTTTTGATATGGTTTGGGCAGTTTGAGTATGGAAACTGAGTTCATCTCATTTATGTACATATTGTCCCTGACATTGCCTGTCATTTAAGTCCTTAAATGCACCTAGTGTGTCCAATTGTCCAAGAGGATTGGTGGATAAATTCATGGTGGATAAAGCACTATCACTGGCTACTAGCCATGATGGCTCTGCTCTGCCTCAATGGTCAGAGGCATCAATGCTTTTGAATACCAGTTGCTGGAAGCCACAGGAGTGGCACATGCTCTTGTGTTTGGGGTTACGGGTTTCCCACAGGCATCTGGTTGGCCACTGTGAGAACAGGATGTGGGCCACCGGCTGGATCCAGCAGGCCTCTGTGTACATTCTCTTGGGTTGGCGTGCTAATTTTTAAAAAAGGGGGCGCTCAGTTTCACTTTCCCCCTGTGCTTTCACCCATTTAGATTGTGATCTCCTCTAAGAGCTATTGTTTAACCGCTTCTGTGAGCATTATATAAATAACAATAAATTATCCATTCCATATGGGCTGGATATCACACAGTCGCCCTTGAATGGGGCCCTAAACAACTGTTGTGCAAAAGCCAAATCTAGCTGGGATCACTGATTGCTGAGTAAATCCCTTGAAGGCAGAGGCCAGATTCCACAAGGGTGAATCTGCAGAATATTCATGCCTCCAGCTATTCAAAATCCCACTGCAGGCACTTTGTGTTGTGGGGAAATTAGCATCCTACACCCAGTTTGCATTTAGGTTAAAGCAATACAGTATCTACCAAGATCAAGGTGAGGCAATCTTGGCTGTTCTTGCCTATCTCCCCTTGTGCAATTCTCCAGAGCCATAGGTGAATATTTCCCAAGTAGCTGAAACTCTTTCTGAGAGGTGTATGTTCCAGATTAATCGATAACCCAGAAGCTCAGTCCTACCTGGCCAGTCCAGGAGCTACAGCCAAAGACCTTGATAAAGCACCCCACCCTCCAGACAACAAACAGTCCTGCTCTTCCTTTCAACCTCTGCCTTACGACAATACCTACACTGTTCCAGATGAGTATGTTCAGCTTTTTGCAGTTATTATTTCATAATCTGTGAATCACTTTGTGTAGCTCTGTCCCAAGGTGATTTTCAGGCACATTCTTAAAAACAGCTAAGAGAATATTGTAAGCAGTAGGAAAACAGCCGAGTATATATTTAAAAACAGCACAGAATGAACACCTAAGGCAGATTCCTCTTCATCCAGCTGGAGAAGCCTGTCGAAACAAAAAATACCTTCAATTGTTTCTGGGGAATACAGATATCAGTTGCCTGTTGTATCTCAACAGGAATGCTGCCCCTCCAGAGGACATCATGAATCCACTCTCCTAGTCACAGAGGGATGCGATTCCTCCAACCGACCCCATTTTATGTGGAAAAGACCCTGATGTTGGGAAAGATTGAGGGCACAAGGAGAAGGGGACGACAGAGGACGAGATGGTTGGACAGTGTTCTAGAAGTTAGCAGCATGAGTTTGACCAAACTGCGGAAGGCAGTGGAAGACAGGAGTGCCTGGCGTGCTCTGGTCCATGGGGTCACGAAGAGTTAAACATGACTAAACGACTGAACAACAACAGCAACAATACTAATTCTTGAAATGGATTAGGGGTGGCTGTTCTTGCCTCAGAATTCCATTGAAAATGTGTCTGTGCTGGGCAATCTTACCTTTTATCTCCCTGTGTGTGCCAACCTGTTGACACTTCCTCTGCAGCCATAAGCTGCCTTGCTCTCTGTAAAATAGGTGAAAGCAGTTTCACCAAAGGTATGTCCTAGGCAACAATAGGGCCTTGGAGATGTGATTGCAAAGTTACCATAGTTTATTCCTTTGTCAAGCTTGTTTGACCTCAGTGCTCTTTGAGGACCGGTCCCTGAATATTTTACCATGAAAACATGATAACATTTGTTGGGGGTAATGAAAACACCCTAATGACAAAATCTGATGCATTTCAGGGACATTTTATGCCTCAGGTGGTGTTTTGTTTGTTTGTTTCCAGAAGGAAAACTGAAAGTGATAGGTAGCTAAAATGTGGGGACTTGTATGGGTGACAATTTGTGACAATGTCCTAGAATGACTTCCTGGTAGGTTTGTTTCTATGTGAATTGCACAATGATAAGGGTGCTGAGGGGACACTTCAGCACCCACAAAATTGGATGAAGGTTAAGAAGAGGCTGGAGGGGGGCTACATTCTGCATTATAGACACTGCCTTGAGACACTGTGGTACTCCAGCACCACCCTGTGTGTCTCCCATCCCCACTGCCAGAGACAGTGGAGAAGCAGTGGCAGTAGCAGTAGCAGTAGCGGCAGCAGCAGCGGCAGCACCTCAGAGTCCTCTGCCACTGCTGCTTCTTGTTTCTGCAGCAGCGGGCAGCATAGTGTGGCAGTAGGCAGGCACAGGGGCAGGATTTGCTACCTCAAGATTCCACCTCCACCTGAGACAGCTGCCTCAGTTTGCCTAATCATAAGGCTGACTCTGTCTCTAAGCTCCCTTCCAGCTCTTTATGTGATGCAATAAATCATCTACAAATCTGCAGAATCATTTCCTCCCAGTTTGCCCTGAGAGAGGAAAAGGTTGAATTGAACACTATGATGAGGTTACCAGATTTTTTCAATGAATCTGGGGACACTTTAAATTAATTAATTAAGTAAGTAAGTAACTTTGGGACATTGATGCTGCAGCGATGGCGGTGGCAGAGGGGCCATCAACCGCCTTGACCTCAACCGCCACGTTTCCCCTTTCTTCCCCAGCTTCTATCTCCTTTCTCCTGGAGCCTGGGCAGCCCCTGAGTTTTTGGTTCTTTGGTGGTGGGGAAGCGGTGCGCGATGGGTCAGGCATGGAAGGTGGAGAAGGAGGGCTGAGAGCGGCGGCAGCAGCGAGGCTCGGGCAACACGAAGCCTTCCTTCCCATCGGAGCAGCCCCAATCCCACTCCTACTTGTGTGCAAGCAGGAGGGGGCAGGGATCTCTCAGGCATCATGATGCCTTCCTTCCCATCTGAGCAGCCCCAATCCCATTCCTACTTGCGTGCAAGCAGGAGGGGGCGGGGATCCCTCAGCTGGGAAGGGAGGTTTCCCCTTGCCTAACTGAGAGATCCTTGCCCCCTCCTGCTTGCATGCAAGCTCTGATAGGCAGCATGAAGCCTCCCTTCACAGCTGAGAGATCCCCGCCCCGCTCCTGCTTGCATGCAAGAAGGAGTTGGGAGGCTGCTCCCATAGGCAGCATGAAGCCTCCCTTCACAGCTTAGTTGCTGGGGTCAGGGAAGGTGGAGGAAGCCCGGAAGCTGCATCTTCAAGCCCCTGCACCACCATCATATGGGGACTTCTTAGCAGCTCCTGTTGCCAGCCAGAGCCAACTGCTCCAGGCTGCTGAGACTGCCGCCCCTGCGTTTCCCGGGGACATTAGATGAAATCTGGGGACATTCCAGGGATGCAATTTGTCTGGGGACTTATTCACAAATCCAGGGACTGTCCCTGGGAAACGGGGACGTCTGGTAACCCTACACTATGAGGGCACTTTGAAACTCCTTCCCCCATTATGAGAACACAATGCCTGCTCTACTCTCACAGAGAGTCTGTGAACAGGGCAGACCTCAGCCAGGTGCCTCTAAATATCACAGAAATAGCAAGCACAGTTTCCTGCTTCTGTTCCATAGGGGCACAAGAGTCCTCTGCTAGGTTAGCTGCTGATGTGTATCTCGGAAGTCACGGCCATTTCTTTTGTTAGCCTGACATTTGGGTTGGCTCAGTGGTGTTAACAGGCACAGCTACTCGGTTTCAAAAATAAAATACAGTGGTGCCTCGCAAGACGAAATTAATCCGTTCCGCGAGTCTCTTCGTCTTGCGGTTTTTTCGTCTTGCGAAGCACGGCTATTAGCGGCTTAGCGGCTATTAACGGCTTAGCGGCTTTAAGAAAAAGGAAACAAAATCGCAAGAACTCGCAAGACGTTTCGTCTTGCGAAGCAAGCCCATAGGGAAATTTGTCTTGCGGAATGACTCAAAAAACGGAAAACTCTTTCGTCTTGCGCGTTTTTCGTCTTGCGAGGCATTCGTCTTGCGAGGTACCACTGTAATGAGATTGCTCATCAAAGAGGAAAGAGTTGGGCAATCACAGTCTATGCTGGCAAATCTTTCTCACATGATCCTTTTTCCTAATGCAACCAGAATTCAAGGCACATTTTCTGCCACAAGAATTCAAGAGAGTTGTGCAACCTGCAGTTGTTTTGAATATGGAAACGATTTTATATAATCGTTCTCTGGTTTGAAATTGGAAATGTGTCATAGCAAAGTATAGTCTGGCCATCTGAAGCCTTGGGCTTGTGTGCTTCCTAAACTTTATTTATCGTTCTGACAATTTGTATAACACTTAACAACAGTTGCCTCTAAGCAGTGTACAAGAGACTCAATGCAATGAAACTAAAAATGAGCTAAAAGGTTAAAATTAACTGTAAAAATGTTCTCTTGCCATCCACACTGATTTCCTCCTTCACTTTCTAGTTTGATCAGGCCATAGTTTACTACTACAGCTGAATTAAGCATGCTAGAACTTTAAGCAATAGACCACATAGATGTGTGAGCATCCTGCCCTGAAAGCAGTGGAGCCTTTGAAAACATTCATTTTATTTATAAATCCCATGACAGCCAGTGTTGCATAGTGGTTAGAGTGTCTGACCAGGACCTGGGAGGCCAGGGTTTAGCCATGAAACCCACTGGGTGACCAGTTGCTGCATCTGAGCCTAACCTACCTCACAGGGTTGTTGTAAGAATAAAATGAGGAGGGGGAGAGCCAGGTACACCACCTCGAGTTATTTGCAGGAAAGGGGGGGGGTATAAATATAATATATAAAGCATTCAAAAGCAATTTAACAATGAAAGCATCAACAATAAAAATGTACATAAAACCACTTCCATTACTGATTCAGAGTGGGATAAAATCTCTATTTAAAAGGCTTGTTGTAAAGGGAAGATATTCAACAGGGGTCAGAAAGACAATAGAGACGGCAAGTGGCTGATATGTAATGGGAGTCTGTTCCAAAGCGTAAAGGCCTGATTCTGACACCATGCAGAATGGACCCCTTGATGGTTATGGTCCCTGATATGAGTGCAGTGATTTGTTAGGTAAATGCACAGCAAGATGATATTTTAGGTATCGTGGTCCCAAACTGTATAGATTACCAGTACCAGCATCTCGGATATAGCCCAGTGGCTGCTTGGTAGCAATTCAAATCAGTGCAGATGTTTGCAAAAGTCTCAGAAGGTGCTCACTGCTGCCTCCCCCTGTTCCCCAAAGACCAAGTGATTTATCTGGGACAAGGCAAGGCCCTGGAGAGAGGGGTGCATGCCAGGTCCCGGCTGTCTTTTCCTGCCTTGCCACAGCTAAGTCCCTGGGCTCAGTGGCGTAGCGTGGGGGGTGCAGGGGGGGCCGGCCGCACCGGGCGCAACATCTGGGGGCGCGCACTTGCACTCGCAGCTCTCTGCCCCTACCTGGCTCACTCACTCTCTCTCACTGCAGTGCTGGCTGTGCGAATCCGATCCGAGCCGCTGGGTCGCCGCCCACTGTGGAGGGGGTGGGTGCCAGGCGTGCGGTGCGGAGAGAGAGTGAGGACTATCTGGGGGAGGGACAGTGCAGCGGCCGCCCAGCGCAGCGCTGAGCGCGGGAGAGAACCACACCAGACCAGCCCAGGCAGCAGCAAGAAGAAGCTGGCAGCGGCGGCAGGTTAGGGGTTAGGGGGCGCAAATTACTTGCCTTGCCCTGGGTTAGGGGGCGCAAATTACTTGCCTTGCCCCGGGTGCTGACAACCCATGCTACGCCGCTGCCTGGGCTTAATGACAATAACTACACATACTTGGTACTCTGAATCAGACTCAAAGTTTGGCATGCTACTAGTCGGGAGAGTGTTGTTGCAATCAGATCCTGATTTTGGGCTTCTCATAGGTTTCATCTGGCCGCTGTGACAACAGGATGCTGGACTAGATTGACCGGCTTTGACTTGATCCAGCAGGGCTTTTCCTATGTTCTATTTTGTATTTGTTTATTTTCTCTTCTATTTAGTATCAGGCATTTTATTAGGCTAGCTTATTTGCATACAGTGTTCTTTAGTCTATGCTGTTAAATTAGGTTTGCTCATTTGTATTGTTTTGCACAACGTTGTATGGACTGATGCCTTTTTTCTATTTATTGACATGGTGACTTACAATCCATTCTAATGTTTTTGAACAGTAATGCTTATTGTTCGTTTGATATGTCGTGAGCCTTTTGGGGCACAGTTTTCTGGGAAAGTGGCATACAAATAAACACTCAGTGATCGATGTACTGTTTTCTTGCTGCAGGACAACCGGAAGTAGGAAAAGGCTGTGCAAACGAATGCAGGCAGCACTTATCCAGACCGATTCACCAGATCAGACTGCAAAATTATATGAAAATGACATGTGGGATGAAGACTTCGGTAATGTAAGTGCCTTGTGCCGTTAATGCTATGCCAGTTATTATACAATCCAGTTTTCTTCTCATCAGAAGAGATGGAAGTTAAATGCAGTTGTCACAGGAGACGTGTGTCTTCCAGTTTTCTTTCTACCTATCCAAAGCTCTTTAAGGAGGCCATAAATGATTAAACTGATTTCAGGAACAAAAAAGGGTGGGAACAGGCTTAAAATACATTGATGTTGTTATTATGGCAAAAAGCAATGGCTGTAGTGATGCTGTCTTTTGTTTGACCCTTCCCTCCCTGACTTCTATAGGGTGAGTGTGTAAATTCATTTATTACTATGAGTATATTATATATAGTACTATCAATTTGCATGGTGCCCCAGACATTAGCAATGGGAAGACAGGGCTCCACCTCATACAGTATATAATATAAAACACAACACAAGCTGAGACTACAGAGGGAAGAGAGGGAAGGAGAGGGAACAGTGAAGCAGGGAGGACGGTGGCTTCTTAGGGTGCAGAGGTGACAGGGTGCCAAGCTTCACTGCAGCTCTTTGGTTTATTTCTGCTACTCTGCAACACGATGTTGATGAATATTTGCAAGGCCATTTTTTTGTTAAATGGAAATGGATGTGGAAAGATATTTAAGAATATCTTAACTAAGCAGTGCTAAAGGATGTGCTTAAATCTGTCCCGTTGAAGATCACTGAGTTTTAAAGCTGCTTAACTGAGCTGGATTGTGTCCCTTTTAACTGCTGTTTCCCTTCTCTGTCCAGACTGATCACTAAGAAGAATCTGAAATTCTGTGCAAGACCAGAGGAAGTCTGGGTACAGGAGGCTATGAGGCAGCTGGATGCAATGAACGCTCCTACAGAAGTGACAGCTGGGTTTGACAAACAAGTGGGCGATACTGTCTCCATATCAGTTCACCCTGGGGGTCCACCTGACACCACTGCCACATTTAGCACAGCTACTTACACTCCCAAACCAGCAGTGATGGTGACTGGAACGACCCTTCATCCCCAAACCCTTGCAAGTGGCACTATGGTTTTCCAAACCTCTGTTGGATCAAAGAGATATGAGGGAAGTCTCACAGCTGTTGGGAAAGGCCTGGAAGAGTTTCCTGGATCAACTCATGATTTGGTGGCATCTCCATCCAGCTCCCCCATAAGCAATTTTATTATTGCAGATTCCACGGCAAAAGGCACGAAGCCGACCACAGCATCTGCCACTCCCCCAGCTTCCTCCGAACAACTGACTCCAGTTCTGAGCAGCTCCAGCACAGGTATCGGAAGGCAGTCAACTGTGGGGCTCCCAACTGCTGAAGCAAACATGCACACTTCTACCAAATCAGCAGGTACTTTGTCAACATCAGGCTTTCACCAGGAGAACGCAACCGGAAAAAGCAGAGCACAGCCAACCACAAGCACTCCTGAGGGTGCCTTCTCTCCCAGTGCTTTGGCTGGACCCCGAAGTCACATCATCTTTTGGGCTTCCATGGGGACTTTTGTGTGTCTCACCATTGTAGTTGGGTGGGCATGCGCTAGGCCCAGAACACCACCTAAGGAACTGGTCCAAGGCTTGCTCTTCACTTCCTCTGACTCTCAGTCTGACGCCTTGGCCATGGAAGTTCTTTAACTTGCCTGTGACTTTGTCTAAGAATGCTTCTTTCACGCCAGGGTTTTAACCAAGGCCATTGAATAAAAGAGGGGGAGCAAGTGAGCCCCATCCTGCATGTTCAGTCACAAGATGCAGTGCACACACATCAGATGAATGGCAAAGCCCATAAACTAGGGGGGTGGGGGAGAGGCTGGCCCCCTCAAATATGTTATTAGTTGACTTCTACGTTCTAAGGCAAGGCAGATGGTGTGAGCTTCCCCCACAAGAGTGGGACCTGTGACATTAGCTGCTCTAGGGAAGCAGGATGTACCAAACACATTGCCCAAGGGTTGTGAGAGAGGCCTTATCCTGCAGGAATATGAACTCAGGCCACTTCAAAGTGGGAGGCAGGCCTTCTCACCAAATCCCTCTGCTAGGGGAACAGAGAGCGGCTCCTTCCTGAGCCATTCAAGCCAAGTTGGTTGGAAGAAGAGCTGGAGCAGTGCCAAGGCAATTGTATATTGACCTGAGACCAAGGTCAAAGGCTCACCGGGGACATATAATCAAGCATCCTTGGATAGGACTCCTCCTAAAGTTGTTTGCTTGATCTTCCTTTATTTGTCAAAGTAGGCAAGTGTTGAATCTGTTGGTGTCTCCGTAGTCCACCAAGATTCAAATCTCACGAGGTTGCTTAGACCCTGTAGACCAGGGTAGACCAGGGCCACATTTTGCCAAGGGCCACATTCCCTTCAGGGTAATCTGATAGGGGCCACATGTCAGTGGGAGGGGGGCAGAGCCTCTCACCTCCCTCCCTCTCTCCCTACCCACTGGGCTGCAAGCAGAAGGGCAGATCACTCTTGTCAGAGGTCTAAACTGCTTGCTTGTGGTGGTCTTCCCTCCTTCCATTTTGCCTTCCTCCTCCCCCTGCTCTGTCTTTCCTTCCAGGCTTTTGCCCCCCTCAAGCAGGAAATTAGGCAGGGGGCTCCAAGTAACCTGCTGGCTACAGACTCTCCACTTCTGCAACCTGCAGCTGCTGGAATCTGTGGCCAAGTACTTAGCACATAGGAATTACCATTTCAAGTATAGGAGAGAAGTGGGAAAGCATTATGTATGTTGAAATTTGCACTAAACGCTCAAGACCAAAAACCAGGTCATTTAGCCAAGCTCAAGGTGTACAGTAGTTTTTTATCCTTATCCATAGAATGGGTATTTTCTGGGTTTGCTATATGGTGTTTTGTATTTTCTTTAAGTAAATAAATAAAACTCTAATCCCATGTAATGTGTCGTCTTTCACAAATGCGAGGCGGAATAAAAAAAGAGGGTCGTCCAAGTGAACCAAAGTACCTTGTTATGGAACCACTAACAGATTACAGATGTAGGGCCATCACTTTGCTTTATTTCCACCCTGCCTTTCAATTTTATAAATGCTTAAAGTGGTTTAAAATTGAACAAGGAATGGTACTGAAAAAACCAAAACAATAGTTTAAGCAGGAAGGAAAAAAGTCAAAGCATCAAAATCAGGCAGTAGCAAGTCTCAGAGTTTTTTTGTTTGTTTTTGTTTTAACAATTTTTATTGGTTTCTAAACAAATTCAGATACAAGAACCATTAACCACTTATCCAGCAGTGCATCTAATGGTGTTTGTTTTAGCTAGACTGGTGACTGGGAGTGGCCGCCAAGACCATATAACACCGGTCCTGAAAGACCTACATTGGCTCCCGGTACATTTCTGAGCACAATTCAAAGTGTTGATGCTGACCTTTAAAGCCCAAATGGCCTCGGCCCAGTATACCTGAAAGAACATCTCCTCTCCTATCGTTCTGCCCGGACACTGAGGTCCAGCTCCGAGGGCCTTCTGGATGTTCCCTCACAGCAAGAAGTGAGGTTATAGGGAACCAAACAGAGGGCCTTCTTGGTAGTGGCACCCACCCTGTGGAACGCCCTCCTATCAGATGTCAAGGAAATAAACAAATAAACAACAATCTGACTTTTTGAAGACATTTGAAGGCAGCCCTATATCGGGAATTTTTTAGTGTCCTTTTTTTTAACAATTTTTTATGTGCTATAAGCCACCCAAAGTGGCTGGGGAAACCCAGCCAGATGTGCGGGGTATAAATAATAAAATTGTTGTTGCTGTTGTTTTTGTTCTTGTTCATTGACTTTAGACATAAACTTACAAAAAGAATGTTCAAACATATTTAACGTAACCTCTGCTCTGAGAATATTGGCATGACAAGGTCTTGGTTTTGGTAATTAACATGCTTAAAGAAATGGGCCCACGTTTCTTGAAAGCGATCTCTATTCTGAAATATAAATGGATGGCAAAGGCAGGCTCAGAGTTAAGAGGTTAAAAGGTCTGGATAAATTAAGAAGACCGGAATGAAAAAGTACACACTTGTTAAAGGAATTGCTGGTCTGGTTTGCACATAACACTAAACCATGGTTTTCTAAACAGTGTCAATGGGGTGCTTTTATGAAAAAGTGTACTCACTCCCATAGCAGGCAGTGGTGGCCATCAACTTAGATGCCTTTAAAAGAGGATTTGACAGTTTTATGAAGGATAAGGCTATCAAACGGCTCCTAGCTATGATGGCTATGCCCTTCCTCCATGTTCAGAGGCTGCAAACCTCAGAAGGGAAGAGTGCTCTTGAGCTAAGGCCCTGCTTGTGGACTCCTCATAGGTTTGTCACTGTGAGAAAAGGATGCTGGACTAGATGGGCCATTGGCCTGATCCAGCAAGCTCTTCTTATGCTTAATAGACCAGCCTCCTAGTTACCAAAGGTAGCTCCAAGGACAGCAAATGACTTGGGCATAGCTGTCAAGCGTCCCTTATTTGGAGGGACAGTCCCTTATCCCAGTGCCGTGTCCCATTGCTGTCCCTTATTGATGGATGTCCCTTAAATATCCCGGGTTTCAAAGGAAGCAGCTCCTCTCCCTCCCTCCCTGCCGGCCAGGGAAGAGGGAGGCTCCAACTGTGTTGCTTGGCTGCCCGGCCCGCCCTCCTCTGGCCTCCTCTCACCAGCCTCGGCCCCCGGGAACCCCTCGCCACCAGGACTGGTGGGAGCCTCGGGCCCTTCCGCCACCATCCTCCTCGCAGCCGCCAAACTGGGCATCTCTGCCTGGGGCCTCTCCTCTGCCCGTCACCGCCGCTCCCGCTAGGCTGTACTGCGGCTGTGCCGTCGAAGGACCCGAATGAGATGGGCAGCCTGGCATGGTCTATGAATTGATGTGGAGCCTTGAGAGGAGAGTGAGGGCAACCATAGAGAAAGCAGTTCAGAGAGAGGAGGAAGAGGAGGAGGCGGAGGCCCGGGCAGGTGTTCCAAGGGCTATAAAGGAAGGACCGCAAGCGCTTCTCCCATAGATTTGTAGTGGTAGACTAGCATAGATGGTCTGATCTGCGGGTTTACTTCGGGCGCTATTCCCCCCCCCCGCCCCACCTGATGGAATTGAGAGCTGCAGATGGAGCACGAGAGAAAAGATACAGAACTGTAGCAGCATCTTCGTAGCTTGGACTTCGTTTTGCACGAAAAGTGGTTGCTGCTTGTAGTTATTTAATTGCAGTGTTTCATCAGCTGGTGTCTTGCGCAGCAGCCTCTGGAAACGAAGGGCTAAAAACTGGCGCTGCTCTCCAAAATTATCTGGTCCCTTTTAACTGGTTGACTAAAATCCCTTATTTTGGCTGCTGGTACCTTATTTTCAAATCTGTAAGTTGACAGCAAATGACTTGGGCATATGGAACTTCAGGCATCTATATCTGGCCCTTGAGACTGCCAAGGCCACACCCCCTCTGTAGGCCACACCCCTTTTGACACTGCCACGCCCCTCTTTTTGCCTGGCTGGACTGTTTGCTTGATGATGGTTTGTGCTTCCCTGGGTGTGTGAGTATATGTAGAAACTAACCTGCGGTATAAAGGTAAGGAGCCACCAAGCTAAAGTACCACTGCCATGTGGTTCCTGGAAGGAAGTCCAGAGAGGAATGTGGAGTTCGGGCTGGAAGAGGTTTTCCAGCCCTAAATTAAGGACTGGGTGAGATGAAAGCTTGGAGGCAAGATTAGGACAGGAGGGAGTTTCCTCCACATCAGCTGCTGAGTAGATTAGATGGGAGCACTGAGTCCCACAGGAAGGAATTTGGTGGGGGGAATTTGCAGGGATTATAAAATGCATAATGAATATCATTCATTTCGTGTTTTACTTTCTTTATCGAGCCCTTGTCCTTAGAGTCTGCACCCTGTTTAGAATTGCACAAATGCTGGAGTTCTTCCACTTGATAGCGACTTCCTCTGTAACGTTGATTCTTATCAGCAAAACCAAAAGAAAGTATGACATGTTTCAGTTTAATGCGTCACCATCCGCCTCTATATCAAAAACAATTGCAAACCCTTCCGCTTCAGTGATTTATTCTGCTTCTAACTACTCCTTTTATGGCAAAGTGGGAGCATCACTTGTGGACCTCCTAGTCAGGCGTCCTCCCAGCCCAAAGCACAGGCCTGATGGAGAAACTCTTCCAGTCTCATGAGATACAGAGGCGCACAAGATGGAACGATGCTGTCACTTCACATAAGGCAGCATCGTATGGACAGACTACCCAGGAACCTTTGCAACATTGTGGAATGTCCCTTGCTCATGCAAAGCTGTGGGGTCTGACTTCAGGGTTGTGAGCACCCCTAATTAGGGTGGAGGCAAATGCACACCCTCCAACACACTGAATCTCAAAACCGGGACGCATATCATTGTGGCTGTGCTCCCATGAGATCACAGAGCCCAAAATATGCACTGGAGGAGGGGCTCTCACATGAGAGCACAGCATGCAAAAATCTGCAGTTTGGGGCACCACACAAGATTGTGGCTCTGGAAAAAGTGCTTTTTTTGGGGGGGGGGGAGATTGCAGCATGAGATCGCAGCCCAAAATTGCCACCATGCTCTCACGTGAACAAACGGGATGTCCCGGTTTTACCGGGGCACTCGCAGGGTATGCAAATATGGCCCTCCAAGCTTCTCTGCTTGGCTCTTGAGATTCCCTCAAAGGACATTCCCACTCCCCAGGCCACACCTCCTCTCCCCAAACCATATCCCTCACCAACCCTGCTCTGTACTCTCTTCCATTGCTTTTGCCTGTGTCCTTGGAACCAGGCCCACGCAGAGCTTGTCTGAGGCCCGGGGGTCAAGTCTTGTTCTTGGCATGACAGTGTAACTTCAGCCAGCCACTGGCAGAGCCCCCTGGTCAGCTTAGCCCTCCGAGGCCTGGAGCAAGTGTACCCAGCTCCCCCCCCCCCAGCTTGGAACTGTGATCATGTCACAGAGGATGAAGAGGGTGGGTGGGTGGAGGAGGAGAATCCTCTGACTTCTGCTTGGCTGGAATGTACCCTATTGTGTAACAAATAAGAGCCACCCACACCTATTGTTCTGCCCACTTCCCCCCTGCACTTTAGAATGGAATGCAGCTGGAACTCTCAGCCTGAAAAAGGTTCCCCCACACCCCTACTGTAGAACCACAAGCTGTTTGGGACTCGTCCAGCTCACCAAAACTCTCTGTTCCTCACCCCACACAATTTTCTCTGTATTTTCACTTCCTTTTCCATCCTCCTTTCCTTCCGATTGTGTCATCCAGTTTCATTCCGGACTTCCTCCACCTACAGCCCATACTGTCCTTAAATATACCATATTTTTCCGTGTATAACATGCCTCCGTGTACAATATTTTTGGGGGACGCAAAATTAAGAAAATGGGGGGAGATTGCCCTCAGTTGTTCAGCTTTTGGGAGGGAGGATTGCCAAGACTTCTTGTGCTTTTTGGGGGTGTGTGTGGATTTTTTTTAGGGAGAATTGACACAAATGGCTCACCCACATGCGTCACAAAAGCCACCCATTGTGTGTCTCTGTGCCAATCGTCCACCCTAGTACCGCAGCGACAGCCAATCAACAACAGCCCTTGCCGCAGCCACCAATAACACGCCAAATAGCCAATGACAATCTTCACATCGTGGCAGCAACCAATCCCACGTCCCCCTATGCAGTATCCGTGTATAAGATGACCTCCAATTTTTAGCATAATTTCTTAATAAATAAAGCTCGTCTTAAACACGAAAAAGTACGGTATATCATGCATACCAAGAAAAGAAAAAAACGTCCATGATAAAATGATTTTGTAACATCTGTACCTAGAAACATTGAGCCAAAGCCAGAATATTTTCAACACAGCATCTGAATCTATAGACATTTGCCCATAATGGATACATCTCTATCTCAATGCCTGTCCCAATTATTTGCAGAGGATGAGGATTGTAAGGGTGGGAAGGTGAGGAGGAGAATATTTCTTCCCTGAAAAGAGTTTTGGGATAGCAGAGAACCCTCAGATGATCTCTGCCATGGAGATAAGGCTCTTAGTGGCTACCAGCCATGATGGCTAATTTCTCCCTCCAACCACTGGAGGAGGGTGCATTTGAATACAGGCGTCCCCGTCACTTATGTGCAATTGACTTGCATGCGACCACATGTATGCACGGCGCCAGAAAATAATTAAATAATCCAATTCAAACCTGGAAATGATGGGAGAGAGCTGGAGAGTCCTCGTGGCTTGCGAGGAGACCCTCCCTAGAGCCCAAAGAGGATGTCAGTGAGGGTTGAAGAAGCTCTGAAGAGACTGGAGATGCAGTGGGGCTTTGTTTATGCTGCTCAGCCTCCCTGCCTAACAGCTGGTGTGTGGGGTAGCACAGCAGTAGCAGCCACCATTTTTCCACATGTCCTCCAGAATCCTGCTGGCCCCAGAGCTTCAATTCTAGTTGCGGGTCATTTTCGGATCCGGTGTTTTTTTGTCTGGATTGAAGACAGAGGAAAGTCCCAGGTTCAGTCCCTGGCATCTCCAGAGAGGGCTGGGAATGTACCATTTGAAATTTTGGAGTGTCTCCATGGGTCAATGTACAATATTGAGCTAGATGGACCAGCAGTTGGACTCAGTATAACAGAGAGGAAATATGCCCCAGTCCAACAGACAAAAAAACTCCTGCAAACATGTTGGGATCTGAACATCAGAATTTGACAAAATAGAATACTGTACCATGCAATAAAAAATAACAATAATAATTTTATTTTTTATACCCTGCCCCTCTGGATGGATTTCCCCAGCCACTCTGGGCGGCTTACAGCATACCGTATTTTTCGCTCTACAAGACACACCAGACCATAAGACGCACCAGACCATAAGACGCACCTAGTTTTTGGAGGAGGAAAACAAGAAAAAAAGTATTCTGAATCTCAGAAGCGAGAACAACAAGAGGGATCGCTGCGCAGCGAAAGCAGTGATCCCTCTTGCTGTTCTGGCTTCTGGGATAGCTGCGCAGCCTGCATTCACTCCATAAGATGCACACACATTTCCCCTTACTTTTTAGGAGGGAAAAAGTGAGTCTTATAGAGCAAAAAATACAGTATATAAAACATAGCAAAATATCAAACATTAAAAACTTCCCGATACAGGGCTGCCTTCAGATGTCTTCTGAAAGTGATGTAGTTCTTTATCTCCTTGACATGTGAAAGGAGGGTTTTCCACAGGGAGGGTGCAACAGTTATGTAAAACAACTTTGTATCATGAATATGAACCAAGTATGGAGAATATTGAACTGGTGCATTCTTTGTATATGTTACACACTGTATAGATTGCTTATAATAGATCACTGAAGGAGACCCATGGACAAAAAACATTGGGTTTAGTTATAGTTAGGTTGATTGTGTCAATTAAAATTTGTTTGCAGGGTTGGTGTTTTTACATAGGCAGCTTCCTATGTTGAGAATCATAGTCCATAACCTCTGGAGGGCCCTGCCTTGGCCTCTGCTGCATAAGTGCATCCTCCTGTCTGTGGCAACAGGAGTTGCTCCTCCTCCTCCAAAATAGGCTAGACATTCGTACCTGAAAAAGTGAGAGTTGACTCCCTCCACTTCTCCTCAAAGGCCTCCATCTCCCCCTGCTGTTTCCTGCTGGGAACTACATCTCCAGGTTCGCTGGAGCGCACAAGGTCTACCCTCTACATGCTCAGTAGTAGAGATGTGGGTAGGGGATTCAGTTCACATTTAAAGCCAGATCTATCACATTCAGACTTTCCAAAAGAATGAGAACTGAAACACTGACATCCTTTGAAATCCATCCATACCTGAATTTTACAATGCAATTCTCCAGCCAAGCAGTGTTTACAAAAATGCATAGCCATGGCGAAAGCATGCATAAAAATGAATATATAAGTGAAAATAACACTCAGAAATGCATTATATTAGGAGACATTGCTTGCACACATTTGCACATCAGTCAAAACTGCATGCAAAAATCTGTTAGGTCAATTTGTACTGAAACGCTGAAGAATTTTCGTGAGTTTTTAAACACACCCACAAATTGCTGCAAAAGTGTGAAGAGCTAAACTTAAGGTTGGAAAAAATGAGAAACCGAGAGAACCAAAATGGATGGATCCTTCTATCCCTGTTCAGGAGGACTAGTCCTGATGGCATCAGCTCACCAAGGTCTGAGGGAAGAGATCTGGTTTTTGGCTATTTTGTTTTTAAACTGGGTATGGGGATGCCTGGGACTGCCTGCATGTGAAAGCATTGTTTTGACCCCTGTGGTGGCAGGAGCAAATGAACATTTCTGAACTCATGTTTTCCACGGTAACATTGAATGGGGGGGGGGAGAGTATTCTCATTGTGCAAGAAGATGGGCAGGTGGGAAGGAGTGTTTAGCTCTTTATTCTCCTTCTTCCCTGCAAATGGGCTCTAGCCTAGTGGATACAGTATCTGCTTTACATGCAAAAGGTCCCTGGTTCAATCCCTGACATCTCCAGGTAGGGCTGGGAATGGCCCTGTTATAAAATCCTGGAAAGCGGCTGCTGTTCAGTGTAGGCAATACTGAACTACAGGGACCAGTGGTCTGACTCTGTACAAGACAGCTTCCTATCCAGCCTTGTCATTCGTGCCCCATCCTCCGGTCAGGCTTCTATCTGGTCCCTGGAGCTGGTCAGGAAACTAGTAAAGAAGGGCTGGGGAGGGGGGCATGAAGGTGTGTGGATGAAGGTGGAGGGTGTAGAAAAGAGGGCATATACTTAAAGAGTATACTGGAAAAGCAAAAGGAGACCCAGTGGCTCAAAAACCTGACAGCTTCTAACTTATTCACTAACACGGTGCTTCTAGTTGACTCTTAAATAAGCCGTGAGGATGGTCTGCTTCCTGATGAATAGTAAGTCACAGTTTGGACCCCCAATGGCTGCATATGACAGCTCGGTTTTTAAAGACCTTCTCACATGTGCTCATGTTTCAGTGAACAAACAGACTTATCTTGAAATAAGCATCAAAGTAGGGGCCGTTTGCTGCTTCCATCATTACTGCTGCAAAATTCAGTCAGTTAAATATCTGTGCCCCATTCACAAATATTTCATTGCATCATTTGTGTGTTCATGTCTTGCTTGTGGGTTTCCAATAGGCATCTGGTTGGCCACTCTGAGAACTGGATTCTGGGCTAGACGGGCCTTTGGTCTGATCCAGCCTTGTCTACTGTCTTTCACCACTTAAGTCATGGTGCTTTTGCACCCAGCTTCAAAAAGAAAAGCATACAGTAGCTCTTAGGTTCCTTAAAATGCACTCCAAAAACCTCTATTATGCCTGAAATATGTAAACATGAGCAAATCCATCAATTAGGTGAAAGCCAATCATTGGACAACCAGAACTGCTATATGGTAGCAATACTGGTGGACTGTTGTTTTGTTCTTTAACCAGAAAGGGGGGGGACTCCCCCATTGCTTTTAAATGTATGCAGTGCAACTGCAGTGTAGGATAGTGTAGATTATTCAGCCTTATCTAGCAATTCATAATAATCCGGGAGTTCCGGCAGCGATGGTTGTTATGAATACAGGGGCATTATAAAGCATGTCCCTATTTTCATCTATGAAATGTTATTAAAAGGTATGGTATATCTGCTTAGCCTGCTAGATATGACACCAGCCTCTTGTTTAGCAACGGGAATCACAGAAAGCTGCCCTGTGCAGAGTTAGACCATTAGTCTATCCAGTTCAGTACTGCTTGCATGGACTGGCAGTGGCTCTCCAGGATTTCAGATAGCAGTCCTATCTGGGGATTGAACATGGGACTCTCTGTGTGAAAAGCAGATGTTCTGTGGCTGAGCTATGGCCTTTCCCTTGCAGTTCCCCCAACCTGCCTTCTCTGACCTGGTCCACCGCACTGAGTAGCAAACAAAATTCCAGATCCCCCTCTTCTGAAGTAAAGATGTGCCGGTCTGGTTTCACTTCTGCAAACTGAAGCTTTAGTCGCGCGTCGCAAATGCTTGGATTTGAGCTGTGGGCGCCTTTTCTCTCGAAAGGAGAAGTGAGACCCACCTCTCGTGGAATTACGCTTGACATTTTACGAGTTTCTCTGGAAAGATATGTGGGTGGAAATACACGGGTAGAATCCTAGGGAAATCCACACTGGGGATGGAAGTGTATATATTCACACAGCTTCGTACCCAAGGACACACTCTCCAGCTTCTAGAAAGACAGCAGGACAGAAGAAAGCTCCAGACCTTGCGAAGAAGCCAACCATGGGCAATCTGAAGACCGCATTCCTGATCGCCCTCATCCTGACTCTCTCTTATCAATACACAGAAGGTGAGCACGTGGCACTTTCCTCTTATTATGTATATGTGTGTGCTTGCTATAATAGTTAAGAACTATAAAGCCCCAGAGTCTTTTGCACTGGGGAAACCCAGCAGATCGCAGGCTGAGGTCCTGGCATCTCCAGTTAAAGAATCTCAGCTATCAGATTCTTGGCAAGCTGGTGTTGAATGGTGGCTTAGTGCTCATACATTGGTGTGCATGAGTGCTAGAGAAGGAGAAGGGACCTCTGTCTCATAGAGCTGCAGTGAGCAACAGAGTAGACCATGCCCCAGCTAGGGTCAAACATGCAGGTGGTGTTTGCCAACTGATTAGAGGCAGGAGGGATCAGTGCATTGCTAACAGCACTCAATGGAAAGATGGAGCTTTTCACAGCATGGAGGTGAACATGGTCACCTGCCGTCAAGTGTCCATGAAGCATCTGTTAAATTTTAGCACAGCAACAGGGACTGCAAAGCCAGCAACCTCAAGTGTAACTGAATCAGCGCTCCTCCTAACTGCTTCCTCTCCAACGTGCTGTGTGTATAGAAAATGCCTTTAGGAGGTTTGCTTTGGTAGCTCACAGCACGCCTGTTTCATCTTGCACTTCCTGGCTAACATTCCAGTATCAAAGTGACTCTGCTACCAGACAGCTATCCTCTGTCCTTAGAAGGAAAGCACCTCTGAATATGCAAAGAAGAATTGCTGAGTAGACATGCATGAGATCAGGCTACGTGCCTCAATGACAGTAAATATGAGTGTTGTGTTATAATAATGGTCAAAATAATGTCCCTCTCTTCTTTCCTCTTCCCCCACCACCTTCAGCACTGCGTCCTCGGATTCCGTCAGACTGTTGTGAGGGATATAGGATGGGAGGACAAATTCCCCGCAACAGAGTGCAGAATTACTACAGGACTCCCAGTGATTGCCGCTTGGATGCTGTTGTGTGAGTACAGAACGCCACTCCCCAATTATGTGTTCTCCTAACATTCAAATAAGGACACCTAGGTGGCCTTGACTGGGATGAGGGTGTCAGAAAAATCATTTCTCATTCCATTAAATGGCATTTCATGAAGTTTCTCAAATTTGTGTTGAGCTGCAGTCGGAGCATTTGTTGAACCATTTGTGATGAGACCAGGCAAGGGGAGGTTTGGGGGAAAATAACAAGTAAAAAGCAGCCTCTGAGAGTTCCAGAGGTTCCTCTGAGCTGCTTTTCTAGGACTTGATGGGAAGAGTTGGCCCCAGTGAAAGGATGGACAAATCTGTCAATTTCAGAGAGAGACAGAGAGAGAGAGAGAGAGAGAGAGAGAGAGAGAGAGAGAGATGAACAAGGGTTTGGGGGCAGGGGAGAAGGTAAGAGTTGGAGAGGAAGAACAGCCAAAACACAGAGAAAAGGAGGATAAGCACTGCTGTCCCCACAATGGATAAAAGTGGGTCCACCTGCCTCCATATGTACCCCCTCTGTCAACTATTGCAAGGATGAGGAACCTCAACCCAAGGTTCAAGTGCAACCCTCCAGGCCTCTTTCTCCAGCCCTCAGGACATTTCCTAAACCAAGGCCCTCTCCAGCCCCACTTTGCATCTTCTTTGTGTCTGGAATGAACTTGCCATTGAACAGGGACCAGGCTTCTTGAATGCCTGGATGGAGGATGGGACCATGTGTGGAAATCTCTGGCTGTGGAGAAAGAGCCTTCTCAGTGGTGGGGTTGGTGGCTTCCCCCCAGGAAAGTGCCTGTTTTTGTGCCATTTCAATGCTTGGCAAATACCTTTAGGGGTGTTTCTTTTAAAAAGATTTCCCAGGCTTTTAAACCATTTGCTTCAGTTTCTTTTTCAGTACTGCTCTTTTAGGTTCTGCTGCTGTTAGTATCACGGTGGCCTGCTTTAATTGTGTCCCCCAGCCATCCCACTGTGTTTCCACCTGCCCTGTCCTGTCACTGTGCCCCCTGATCTGGCCTGCTGCTTCAGGTGTCGTGGAAGATACTATCCCATTTTTGTTCAAATAGGATTCAATTGTAATGAAAAAATGCAGTTTGTTCTGTTATGTAAATTGATGTTGCTTTGTTCTGTTGTTTATATATGTCATTTTGTTATTATATAAAAATGACAAAAAATTAATGGATTAAACAGCGGCCAGTCAGTGGGGAACAGGTGACATTTTGCGCACTTCAGGAAGTGAAATCACATCTAGGGCTGGCCCTGCGGATTCCTGCACTTCCAGCAGCTAGTAGATCTACAGAAGAGGAAGGGAAATATGATTACAGGAGGCATACGCCAAGAGATCGTTTCTAAACCAAGTTATTTTGCCTTTTCTCTACAGGTTTGTTACAAAGATCGGTAGGCGTGTCTGTTCTAATCCCAGGATGTCATGGGTGAAAAAATTAATGTCACAGCTGAGAGAAATTAAACCATAATTTTGGAGAACCAAAGGAAGAACCTCCGCTGAACAGGAAGGAAGACAAAGAGCCACTATCCTCCTTTCCAGTTTCTCTGCTTCCTTCTGCTTTTTTGCCACTCACAAGCAAACATCTATAAGCATTTAAACAGCACTGAAAACAGTGTAGCTGTGGCCACTTATGCACTGTCAGAAATGCAACGTCAAAGAAGAGGATACCAATTTGCATAATGAATATGTAAGATATAACTGTTATAGTTTAACTAGAAATACAACGCATCTCACCATTGTGGGGCAGGCTGTGATCTAGGTGGTAATTGGGGATGGGCAACTACAAGGCCTCTGCTCCTTTCTTTTTTAAAGGTTCTTTTAGAGTCTTCTGAGGAACGGTAGTATATAAATGTAATAAATAATAATAATAATCTTTAACTGGAATAGGTTTAAGGAGATGTATCTCCTCCAACAACCCTTCAAATATAGAAGGGCCCATCAGATTACATATATAGGCTAGTTAATGCTATATGTTTCCCAATCTCCTCCCAAAAATCCAGGAATTGTAGTTTGTGGCCTACTAAGAAATGCCTCACTCATTTCCCAGAATTGCTTGGGCTGGAAACCACAATCATCAGACCATGGTCAACACTGCTTTAAAACTGAACTGCAGACACAGACATAGTCATGGAAGGAGCAGAATAACGGCAGAGTCTTTGGGGGTCCCTTCTCCACCATTTGCACTGTGGCCTTTCTGAATTCATTCATAAAATTAGCTAACACCAGATTATGTATGAAACCATCAATAGTAACTGGCAAGCAAGCTGTATTTACAACCGTCATATATACTCAATGCTGCTGCCATCACTGGGCTATTCGTGCCTCCTTGCTTCCTTGGCCCTTCCTGGCTTCCTCCCTTCCCCCATTTCTTCCCTGCAAGTACCTGCAGGGTCCAAAGCACCTCTCAAAGAGGGTCTTTCCCCCTCCTACTCCTGCTGCTGCTACAGAAATTAAGCTGAAGACTTCTTGGAGCAGGACCTTTTCCATGCTTGGCAAAGTCCCTCCTGAAGGAAGCCTGGCAACAGCCTCAGTCAAGAAGACCTTTTGTTCTGTTAGGCTGCAATTCTTCCTGCTGACTGACATTAGCTTAAACTTTCCTATGTTTATGGAAGTTTGAAAGAAGAAAGATGGAATATAAGCTTAAAATAATAAAGATTTTTTTTCAATTTATTCGATTCATTCATTCATTCATTCATTCATTTAGTCACTAACAGCATTTGTAGGCTGCCCCTTAACAGAAAGTTCTTTAGGTGGCCTTCAATAAATGGCATTCATGATCCTTGTTGTCATCCCTTCGAGCTTGCCCAGTTCTGGTCTTCTTCTTTTTTTTAAGCACAGAAGGTGCCTACGAATTTTAAGTGCCCAGAGTCTTCTGAACACTTACTTTGGTGTCACGCCCATAGATAAAGGTAAAGGTAAAGGGACCCCTGACCTTTAGGTCCAGTCTTGAACGACTCTGGGGTTGCGGCGCTCATCTCGCTTTATTGGCCAAGGGAGCCGGCGTACAGCTTCCGGGTCATGTGGCCAGCATGACTAAGCCGCTTCTGGCATTTATCTTCCCGCCGGAGTGGTACCTATTTATCTACTGGCACTTTGATGTGTTTTCGAACTGCTAGGTTGGCAGGAGCAGGGACTGAGCAACGGGAGCTCACCCCGTCGCGGGGATTTGAACCGCCGACCTTCTGATCAGCAAGTCCTAGGCTCTGTGGTTTAACCCACAGCGCCACCTGCGTCCCATAGATAATGCATGGCTTACTTACTTCACAGGCACAGGCAAAAAGCCCTGTTGGTTCAGATCAGAAGCTCGTCTAGTCCAGCATCCTGTTCTCACAGTGACCAACCTCACGCATGCAAGACAAACCCACATGCAAGACAAAAGCACTTTCCCCAATAGAATTCCTTAGAAACTGGTATTCAGAGGCATGCTGTCCCCAATAAGGGAGACAGAACATAGGTATTGTGGCTAGCGGCCATTGATAGCCCTCTCCACCATGAATTTATTTAATCCCTTTTAAAATCCATCCAAGTTGGTAGCCATCACTGCCTCCTGTGGAAGTGAGTTCCATAGTTTAACCATGGGGCGTATGAAGAAGTCCTTCCCTTTTTTCTCGTCTAAATTTCTCAACATTCAGCTTCACTGGATGGCCCTGAGTTCTAGTGCTATGGGAGAGGGAGAGAAACTTCTCTCGGTCCATTTTCTCCACACCATACATAATTGTATAGATCTCTTAGATGTCCTCCTCACTCATTTTTTAAACTAAAAAGCCCCAAATGTGGTAACCCTTCTTCATGGGGAAGGGGTGTGCCCCAGCCCTTTGATAATTTTGGGGTTTTGAACATTTCCAGCAATGCAATGTTCTCTCTGCTGTTTGAGCAATGTTTTCCTCTCTCTTCTCCCTCACTCCAACTTGCAGTGAACCTGAGAGTTTGCTAAGCTTCCCTTCATGCCACCCAAATCCAAACAGTAAATGCCGCTAAACTTCTTTGAGTTGCATCCCTTCTATAAGTTGTATAGCTGGATCTGTAATTTGACAAGGCAAGGGGAGGGGGGCATCTCTTCCAGTGGAATGAAAGGAAGTGATGATCATGTGGATGACTGTGGTCATGACTATCAAGCCTAGGAGGGAACTTGGCAGAGACATGTACAAATGCTATCCATTAGATGGCACCAAACGTCAGGCTACAAAGCACAAGTTGAGGGAAATATGCTAGCAATAATCTTGCATGTTTGTTTCCCTGTTGAGATATTGGGTGCAATCGGATGGTGATTCAACCCGTATTCTCCTGGTTTTTCATGGTGATTTCAGATGATGCTGTCGTTTCCTGGTTTGGGGCCTCATGGAGCAAATTGCTTTTGTCTTTAGAGCTAATTTAGTGCTTAGGTTCCACCTGCCACTAACCCTTGGGGACAGCCCTTGGGTCTGGTTTGGAAGCTACAACTGGGGCCAGACTGCTGAGGGGGCATCTGGCTGACAACACGTGACACCATTGTTAGAAGAGCTGCTGCACTGGCTGTCCATCTACTACTGAGACAGGATTATGGTCCTTGCATTACTTTCCAAAGCCCTGAACAACTTAGGCCCAGGGTACCTCCCTCAAGCACCACCTGAACCCTTATATCCCAGCTTGATCACTGAGGTCATTTGCAGGAATGTCATTGGTCGTTTCCCGAGTTGGTGAGGCTCATGTGACAACAACAAGAAACCCAGCCTTTAGTCAACGGCAGAGTAAGCTGCTTGCGCGTCTGGGGCAGCACACCCAGGAGCAGGGCGAGCCGTCCATAGGAGTGGGGCGAGGGCGGGGCGCACCACATGGCCTCCAGAGTCTGTCTGCCTCCTCCCACTCAGCTCCCCTACAGCTAGGGGGGAGGCAGCGGGTGGACCGTTTGGGCAGCATGGAGCCTGCGTGCGCCCATGCCACCGGGTCTCTCCCAGGAGAGACGCATGGCTTGGGCACGCTGCAGGCCCCGCAGTGAGTGCTGCCTGGCATTTTGTCACCCCTCTTAGTGGTGATACCCGGGATGGACTGCACCCACCGCACATCCTTCCTCCGCCCCTGCCTTTAGTGTCATTGGCTCAGTCCTACAGAACTCTCTGCCAACAGAGATTCAGCCAGCGTCTTCTGTGTCAACTTGTAAATGCCTGCTGAAAACATTTCTGTTTCATCAAGCTTATGCAGGCAATTAAGACTATGTGCATCCTTCCACAGTGGTTAACTGATGTCTGTTTTTAACTTTATTATGGTTTGTATGGTTTTAATCAGTGCTTTTTTTCTAAAATAGGGGTACTCTCATTTTGACTCAAGAAAACCACCATTTTATAGTTCAAATCAGGAAAAATAAATACAGTAAATGGACAAAAGTACAAAGATTCACAAAATGTTTAGGGGTATGCATACCCCAGCGTACCCCCCAGAAAAAAAGAACTGGTTTTAATGTACTGTTTTATGTTTTTATTGCTGTAAACCTCTTTGATATCTATTCATAGATTTTTATTGATATAGCAGTATACAAATACCTGATCTGTGACATTTGCAATGGGTGCTGCCTGTTGACATTCCAGATTTCCAGATTATGCAGATTCCTACTCCTCAGCCTCCATTCTGATTCTAGGATCATTTCTCCTCCCTTCATTAAAAATATATATTTCCTTCAGCTTTTAATTTCATGGCTAGAAAGGAAATGTCAGGTTACTCCAAGGCTGACAGGACACATGCAGCCCTGTCTGCCACACAAAGCATGCACACAACCTCTTCTTGGGACTCCTCTGCTTCTGAGATGAGGGAAAGGACTAAGATCACCTTACCCATTTATGAAAGCTTGTGTTTTTTTGGTGCACAAAAGTTTCTGAGGAGGTGGGAAAGACTATGGCCCAGGGCTGCAATTCTAACTGCATTCATGCACAGGCCAGGCTGCCAGCATGAGGGGAGGAGTGGTGTAGTCAAGAAGGGGACGAGAAAACAGGAATTGTCAAGCCACGCCCATCACTGCAATTGCCTTGAAGCTCAATTCTTATGGGACATTGCAATGGAAAATCACGCATGTTGTGAATACATCGTTGGAACCTGTAAACAAGAGAGCCCAAAAACTTTATGCAAAAAGGTTTGTGTCTGAAAACACACTTTCTGGAATCATCACTGTTCATTGCAGAATATTCAGTAAAAGCAATGAGCATTGCCATGATGGGCTTTTCCAATGAAGTTTCTGAAAAGGCTGTAAATGTGCTACCAAAGGTATATGAAGATTTTAAAGTCAAATTGAACTGCACTTTGTTGTATTCAGGACTTGATTATGCACTATGGCAGGTGCACTGTAAACTTAGGTGCCAGCCCAATTGGAGCTCCTGTTATGGTTCATTTATCTGGAGGTCCTCAGGGTAAAAGTGTGTGTCTCTAGGAATGATTCTTCCTGTATGAAGCTCCCTCAAACTTAAGTATGTAAAGACATCCCTGCTGAAGGTTCCATCTTACATGAATGTTAGATTAGCTTCCACAAGAAACAGGGCCTTTGCTGTTGCTGCCCCATCAGTCTACAAATGCCCTCTTTCAGCATACCTTCCATAGTTGGTTTCTTAAAAAGCTCATTCTCTGCTGCTTGGTTAGTTTCAGCATTACTTGATTCAAAGAAGAGGAGGAGGAGGGGGAGGAGAGAATATATACATCTCTTTGAAATGTGCTGAAAATCTTGTATATAAATCTTTAAAATAAATGAAATGCATTAAATCCTGCTCCCCTCACCTTTCGGAAGTCCCTGCAGCTGAAAGCACTGTAGCTGTTCCCTCACCACAAAACTCAGAGGCAGAGTTGATATTCCGAGCTAGACGGAAATGCAGTGTAATGTGCGTGGCCTGCCAGAGTGAAGGACAAATTATTTTGAAAGGAAAATATTTTCAGGAAGTTGTGCACAGGGTTCTGGGAAGTAAGAGTTGCTAAGAACTTCCCTGCACTCTGATGTAGCTTTCCTTTTCCTGATGAACTTGCTCCAGCTCTGTCAAACCATTGAATAACAGAACCGCATGCCACTTCTGGAAAGATGGGATCCCAATGCACTCTTTGCTGCATACTGTGAAAGTGGAGCCAAGGGGGCAGCCCGGCTGATTCCTCCCTCCCCTGGTTAGAGTCATTTCTTGTGCATTCACATGATTTGTGTTCATGATGAGATTGGGGCGCTGGTCACATGTGATCCTGTTTGCCCCTTGTCAGGGGTTCAGGGACAGAGGCACAGGGTAGGCAGGAGATGGAGAGCGATGGGGATGAATCCCAGGACAGCGAGGAAGAGGATGACAATGACTCAAGAGATTCCATGAGTCTTTCCAGCGAATCAGAGGATTCCCAGAAGGGGGCGCCGGTGGTCAAGGCCAGGGGAGCCCCAGGGGGGACGTGTCAGGAGCAGGGGGCCAGCAGGGGATCCCAAAGTGGCAGCTGGGCGTCAGGACCAGCCTCCCCGCCAGAGTGCAGCGAGGGGAGTGGAGGTTCCAGTGTATCAGGGGAAGCAGCTCCGGCAGCAGAGAAGGGAGGGAGGTCGGAGCAAGCCACCCTCCCGGAAGGGGAGGGGAGTAGTGAAGGGAGTAGTGTAACTGTCAAAAGGAAGGTTAGAGGTTGGGCGCGCGCGCCAAGTTCAAATGTGGAGGCGCGCGGAAGTACAGGGAGCCCGGAGGAGGAGGGGCCAGGTC